CATTATTCTTAACACTTTAAGTGAATTAACTTCTGTTTTTTCCTCTGGCTGTATGTGCATAAAAGTATTTTTATAGCCAGCATGGTGGCTCATGCCTATAATCCTAGCACTTCAGGAGGCTGAGGCCGGTGGATCACTTAAGACCAGGAGTTCAAGACCAGCCTGGCCAGTGGTGAAACCCCATCTCTACTAAAAATACAAAAATTAGAGCTGGGCATGTTGGCACGTGACTGTGGTCCCAGCTACTCGAGAGGCTGAGGCCCAAGAATTGCTTGAACCCCGGAGGCAGAAGTTGCAGTGAGCCAGCATTGCGCCACTGAACTGCCTGGGTGACAGAGCAAGACTCTCTCAAAAAAAAAAAAAAAAATTATACACAAACACACACATTTTAAAGTGTAGAAATTACATTTTTTATTCACCTTTTCCCCCCTCTGTGAATGAAGAAGTCCAAGGCTGTCACATAGTTACTTCTGTTAAGAGCCCCAAAAGAGGTCATGAATGAATTTGTGGGACTTGTTGAAATTTCACAGTGTGACGTCTTACACAGTTGTAGAAGGAAATGTGGCAAGAATAGGATTTTGGAAATTTGCCTAAACTTTTCTAAAACTTTCAGGATTCAAGAATCAGAAATCATAATCAAAGAGGTAGGAGAATTAAGAGTTCAATGCCAAACTAAGAAGAGCAGAGCAAATTCCAAGAAAAAAGGAAGAAAAATATTGTTTGGTGTTTTAAAGAGGTAGAGCTCAATGAAGACTAAGCCCTGAGATACTAAATTGAGGGCATAATGGCACGCACATGCTTATAATCCGAGCGCTTTGGGAGGCCTCGGTGGAAGGATGCTTGGAGCCCAGGAGTTTGAGGTTGCAGTGAGTTATGAGCCACTGCACTCCAGCTTGGGCAAGAGTGGTACCTTGTCTCAAAACAGCAACAACAAGATACGAATTTAAGAAACTGTTACTTGAATATATATTTGAATATATATTCTGTCCAGCAGTGATGGAATAACAAGGAATGGATTTACCTTGCTATTTTAAGCAACTAGAAAACTGGACAATATATGAAATAGCAATTTGTAATGTACTGGGTAACAGGCAGCACAAGACTGTGGTCACTGAAAGGTGGGAAACATGCTGAGTTCTGTGGTTGCTCCACTTTATTATCTGGAGGTAGTTTTCAGGGTGCAGAGCAGGGATGGGGAACCCAAATTAAAGTGTCTTACTTAATTGAAAAGATGGGATTGGCAGGGAGCGAAGATTGTCATAATTTGTGGGGCAGAGTACCAGAGATGTGGGAGTTGTACATAGAACTCCAGAGGTAGGTGGAGGATTCTCCTGAAGTCAGGTTGAGTCCTGACCTACACATGCATGAGAGGAGGGCACCTGAGGTCAGAGAAGGAACCCCACTGGAAAGGAGCAGGCCAAATGATTCCTGGAACTCACACAGAGCTGGGAATCTGTGTTGCCATTAGCCAGAGTACATACAAGGGCATCAAAAGGGCATGGCCTTTTGTAATGAGGCTAAATTAGCACTAAATTAAAGGGTACTCTGGACCTACTGTCAATGAAAAAGCAAGTCTTGGAAGATCCAGCCAATTTAAAGAATCTTACCTGTCTGTGAGAACAAAGTCCAGTGCTATTTAAGGAAATACACACAATCTGAAACACAAAACTCACAATGTTAGGCATTCAGTAAAATGACCAGGCATGCAAAGAAAAAAAAAAAAAGGAAAATATGGCATAATCAGGAGAAAAATCAACTAGATCCAGAAATGACAGAGATGATGGAATTAACAAAGACATGAAAACAACAATTACAAATATGTTCTTGGTTCAAAAAGTAGAGGAAATGGTTAAAATAACGGGAAGAGAACTAGAAGGTATATTTTGAAAAGACCCAAACAGAACACCTAGAGTTGGAAATAAATTTTAAAGTACAATGATGGCATTAACAGTAGTTGAGGCACTGCATATCGGTGAGCTTCAAGACAGCAATAGAAGCTGTCCAAAATGAGAACAGAAAGCAAAATGGAAAAATTGATACATCATCAATGACTATAACAAGGCTAATTGTTAGAGATAGAAACAGTCTGATATATATATAATTGGAGCCCCAGAAAAGAGTGAAGGGGAGAACAGAAAAAGATTGTAAAAAAAATAATGACCAGAAATTTTCCAAATTTGATGAAAACTATAAGCCCACATATTTAAGAATACCAAGGAGAATAACTATAAAGGTAACCACACGAAGGCACATCATCATCACATTGTTGGTAACCAATAATAAAGAGAAAATCTTGAAAGTAGGCAGAGAAAAAATACGCATCATGTACAGAGTAACAGAGATAAGAATGACAGCAGACTTCTTATCAGAAACTTGGCAAATTAATATACAATGGAGAGACCTCTTTATTTTTTATTTTATTTTATTTTTTATTTTGTTGGAGACAGAGTCATTCTTGCCCAGTCAGGAGTGCAGTGGTGTGATCTTGGCTCACTGCAACCTCCACCTTCTAGGTTCAAGCAATTCTCCTGCCTCAGCCTCCTGAGTAGGTGAGATTACAGGTGCATGCCACCACACCTGACAAATATTTTTGTATTTTTAGTAGAGATGGATTTTCACTATGTTGGCCAGGCTGATCTCAAACTCCTGACCTCGTGATCTGCCTGCCTCCGGCTCCCAAAGTGCTGGGATTACAGCTGTGGGCCACTGCGCCCGGCCTGGAGAGACATCTTTAAAGTACTTTTTTAAAAAGCCTGCTGGGGCTGGGTGCAGTGGCCAACACCTGCAATCTGAGCAGTTTGGGAGGCGGAGGCAGAAGAGTTGCTTGATTCCAGGAGTTCGAGACCAGCCTGGGTGACATGGCAAAACCCCATCTCTACAAAGAATACAAAAAATCAGCCAGGCACGGTGGCTTGCTTGTGGTCCCAGCTCCTTGGGAGACTGAGGTGAGAGGATCGCTTTAGCCTGGGAAGCAGAGGCTTCAGTGAGCTATAATTGAGCCACACTGCACTTTAGCCTGGGTGACAGAGTGAGACCCTGTCTCAAAAAAAAAAAAAAAACAGGCCTACTGGAACTTGTTGCTGGTAGGCCTCCGCAAGAAATGTTGAAGCTGTTCAGGCAGAAAGCAAATGACAAAGGATTGAGAAGTGCTAGAAATGATAATTATGGGAGTAAAAATAAGACAATTTTTTTTTCTTTTTTAATCTCTTTAAAGATTGTTGTATTGAAGTTGATTGCTAACAGGTACAGGATTTCACTTTTTGTGTGATGGAAATGTTCTGCAATTAGTGGTAATGGTTGTGCACCATTGTAAATTAAAGAATTAGTAGCTTTTAAAAGATAGTGTTTAAAGCAAAAATAATAATGCATTATAAGTTTTATAACGTGGGAGTAAAAGGTATGACAATAGCACAAGGAATGAAAGGGGATGGGAAGGGTATAAGAAACATTACTAAGGCTTTATTTATTTATTTATTTATTTGACAGAGTATCGCTTTGTTGCTCAGACTGGAGTGTGGTGGCACAATCCCTGCTCACTGCAACCTTTGCCTCCTGGGTTCAACAGTTCTGCCTCAGCCTCCCAAGTAGCTAGGATTTCAGGTATGCACCACCACACCCAGCTAATTTTTGTATTGTTAGTGGACGTGAAGTTTCACCATGTTAGCCAGGCTGGTCTTGAACTCCTGACCTCAGGTGATTGACCTGACCTTAAGTGATCTGCCTTCCTCAGCCTCCCAAAGTGCTGGGATTGCAGGCGTGAGCTACCATGCCTGGCAAAAACCTTAGTAAGGTTCTTAAGCTGTATATAAAGTGGAGTCATCAAATTTACATCTAGAAAATTAAAACAATTTATGGTCCCGCTTCAAATGTATGGGAGTGCCAGTTTAACCGTATCCTTGTCCATGTGTGTATTCGTTTAAAAACATTGCCACCGAGTTGTTTTTAAAAACTTGATTACCCTAGACACCCAGTCCTCACCGTGCTTGAGGGATATTTTATCTCTGAGATCTCTGAAATTCTATCAGAATCTCTTTACCTTAAATTTGACTAAAACATAAAATGTATACATTTATTTATTTTCTTTCCTACTCTTCCTACGCCCTTTCTTCATAAGCATAGTAATTTCTTTTGTTACTACTTCAGCTTCAGTTGTTCTAGAATGTGAACATTTTGAAGACACATTCCATGTCTCTCTTATTCTCTATTGTATCATGGCTGTAGTATACTAGATTCTCCATGCTCAATAAATTTGTCAAAAAAAACTACTGTTTTCTTTCTATACACAGTATTGGTAAGGTTGATCTGCATATTTCTAACATCTTTTTCTTTCATCTTGTTAATCTATTTTGTCTTTTTGATTTGAGTTGTAAAATAATTCATTTACTTATTTTTTTGTGTTACTAATTTTTGTTTGTTTATATTGCATCTGCTACTTATTGCTTCTATTGCTGTTTTAAATTTGGCAAATCATGCTTTTCATCTCTGAAAATCTTTTCATCTCTGAAATCTTTCCTCAGATTATTCTGATTTCATTTTTACATATTCAAAATTCACTCAAATTCTATTAAAATATTAAGCACCTTGCATTTCATATTTTTCTTCAACTTATACCACATACTGTGAGACTGTCAAGCTTTTACATCTTTTTTTCAGCTCTAGGGCATTTAAACTTTAATATTAGTGTGTTTAAAACCCCTTAGGACTGGGAAATAAAAGAAAATGGAGTACCCATTTCTTCCTTCAATCCAGCCACCTCAACACATAATTAAAATTTGGTATTGGTGCTGGACACAGTGGCTCACACCTCTCATCCCAGCACTTTGGGAGGCTGAGATAGGCAGATCCTGTTAGCCCAGAAGTTTGAGACCAGCCTGGGCAACATCGTGAAACCCCATTTCTACAAAAAATTAGCTACACATGGTGGCTTTTGCCTGTGACCCCAATACCTGGGAGGCTGAGGTGGGAGGATTGCTTGAGCTCAGGAGGATGAGGTTGCAGTGAGCTGTAATTGTACTCCAGCCTGGGTGACAGAGCAAGACCCTGTCTCAAAAAAAAAAAAAAAAAAATTATGAAACTTTTATTAGTATAAAGTTAAGTCTAAGAGTTTTATTTGCAAAGATTACCATGTGGGAGTAATCTCTAGACATTTTTGCCTTCCTGGCCTATTTTGTAAGATCCCCCAAAGGTGGAGAACTGGATCAGGAAAATAAGCAGAGCTTGAATACACACTGCCATTTTTGAGAGGAAAACAAATTCAGAACTTGAAAGAATTGGAGTTATTTCTTTCCTTAATTACACTTTGGAGTTTTGCCCTCGGGACCGAGAAATGAATGTGAGTTATTCTTCCCTAGGAGTCCAGTCTAATGCTAGACATACATGGTAATAAGCACAGTCAGTGCAACAGAAATTGGTGGCGTGAAGGTAAAGTGAAGCGACCCATAATTCATGGTTGATGTTTTCCACTGAGGGGCCAGCATGGGTTTTATGCAGAATGGAGGACATTTGAGATTTCATTTTGGGGTAATAGGAGACTGTAACCTGGGACAGGTAAAAAGAAATTACAAAGCAATGCTTATGCTCAGGTTGGAAACTTTGAATTTGTACTGGTGCTAATTGTGCATTTTTTCCTAGTAGTATTTACCGCCCCTATGCAGGGGTGGAAAATGAAACTAATGTATTTATTCAAAATAAGTGATTTGAAGGAAAATGCGACTGAGCAAAGTAGTGTTTTATAATCAGCCCCAGTTTTCGGGATAAGACTGCTAGAGACTCATTACTTTTTACATTATAATGTGAAATTAATCATTAAAATCTGAAGTAAAAATGGAGGTTTTTGGCCAGGTGCAGTGGCTCATTTCTGTAATCCAAGCACTTTGGGAGGCTGAGGTGAGTGGCTCACTTTAGAGCAGGAATTCAAGACCAGCCTAGTTACCAACAGGGTGAAACCCTGTCTCTACTAAAAATACAAAAATTAGCCCAGTGTCTTGGCTTATGCTTGTAACCTCAGCTACTTGGGAGGGAGGCTGAGGTGGGAGGATCACTTGAACCCAGGAGATGGAGGTTGCAGTGAGCCAAGATCATGGCACTGCACTCCGGCCTGGGAGACGGAGCAAGACTTCATCTCAAAACAACAAAGAAACAAACCAAACATACATGGTATGTTTCAGCCCGTTGTACTTACTCTCCTTGTCCAAGTTAAAATTGTCCCTTTTTTAGCCTGTAGTGCCACTTCTGCTTGGCTCTTGGGCCTTGTAACAATCTTGTTTATGCTTAGTTTCCTTGTTGTCCAATGTGACACGGTGTTCCTGGCTTATCTTCTATATTTCCTGCCCAGCCACTTTTCCAAGAAGAATGTGAACATTTAAAACAAAAACAGTTTCAGGACCCCAGTCGCACCCAAACCAGCTTAATCAGAATCCCTGGTAAGGATAGGGCCCGAATACAGACAGGGTCCCCAGAGTGGAGTGCAGTGGTGGGATCTCAGCTCACTGCAACCTCTGCCTCCTGGGTTCAAGTGATTCTCCTGCCTCAGCCTCCTGAGTAGCTGGGACTACAGCTGTGAGCCACCACTCTCAGCTAACTTTTGTATTTTTAGTAGAAACAGGGTTTTGACATGTTGGCCAGGCTGGTGTCCAACTCCTGACCTCAAGTGATCCGCCCGCCTTGGCCTCCCAAAGTGCTGGAATTACAGGCATGAACCACCACACCCTGCCAGGATACAGTATTTTTTAAAAAGCATGCCCAGCCTTGGATGGAAAACCACTTGAGGAGAGTATGCTGTCTTATCGGGCTCTGTAAACACCTTATCTCTGCACAAGGCTGGGACTTTGAGTGGAGTCCTTGGCTGAAGCTCTCATTGCTACATGGTGACCTTTATTCCTCCTGTTTAAAGCTTGTGTTTCAGAATTTTGACCCGAATGCGTCCGTGTTGAAAGCCGGGCTTGGTCTGTCATCCCAGGACTCTGTGTCGGTCCCTTTCCTTGCGTATTTGTTGAGTTGGGGCTCATCTTCACGCCTCTGGGAAATAAGTTATTTGATAGCTTGCTTAGAGTCTCAATACTTTCCCTTACCCTTAGAATGAATACCAAAATATGTGGCCTGCAGTGTAGACTATGCACAGCCTTCAGTGTAGACTGCTTAGGCGCCCTCTTGGTTCCTGGAGTCTGCCATGCTTTCTTCTACCACCAGGCCTTTGCACACGCTGCTATCTGCTGGGAATGCCTTGCCTTTCCTCATTACTTAGTTCTCCTCTACTCATCTTTCAGGTGCCAGCTTGACTGTCTTCCTTGGGGGAGCTTCTCTGACCTTGATACACCAGATCAGCCTCCATGTGCTGACTTTGTCTCATTGGTAATATTTCTCTACCTTCAGGACACATATCAAGGCCCAGAAGTTGCAGTTTTGCATTTGTTTGTGTGATCATTTGATGCATGTCTCTCTGGAGCCTGACTCTTTGGGGCTCACATCCTGTCTCTACCAGTTTTAGCTGTGGGACCTTGAACAAATCATTTCATCTCTGGTCCCCAGTTTCTTTTAACTGCAAAACAGGGATGATATAATACTTTCACCTACATTGTGAGGTGGGGATGAAGATTACATAGGGTAATTTGTGTAAAGCACTTAGAACAGAGCTAGCTACTAATAGTAGAGAATCTTGGCAGGTATTACTGATGATTACTTCAGGAGACCACAAGCTCCATACAGGCAGGGGTCATTTCTGTTTGTTTAGATTTGTATGCAGGCCACTTGGCACATGGATGGTGCTCAGGAAATATTTGTTGGATGAATGAATGAAGTAGAGATAATAGTAATAACATGTTTATAGAATTCCATGAGGATATAAAATAATGCAAGTATATAAGTTCTTGGTAGCATGTCTAGCTCATAGTAGGTGGTCAATAAATATTCAATGCCTGAATGAGGAAAATGGGGACAATAGTAATACCAGCTTAGGAGGTTGTCATGGGAATCTAAGGTAACCCTGTAGTACCTTGTAGAGTGCCTAGCACATAGTAGGTGCTCAGAAAATATTTGTTGAATGAATGAATGAAGTGGGGATGATGGTAACACCAGCTCCTATGGTTACTGTGGGGATAGAAGGCAGGTCGATAGCTTGTTGTATTGTGGTTGCACCTGGTAGACACTCTGTTGAGTGAAAAGAGAGGAGGTGCTATGAGTTTCTTTCTCCTGGGGCTTAGGAGAGAATCCTTTTGGGGTACAGAATGGTATGGAGCAGTCGCTGGTCCTCTTGAAGGAAGAATGGGCAGCTTGCTACTCCTTGCCAAGCTCTAACCTGGATGAAAAGTTGAATAATTCCTTTCCCTCTTCCTCCCTAAGCTGTTCTTTCTTTCCACTAGAATCTTTGCCCAGAGTCCAGTACCTCCTTCCTGTCCAGGATCACCTTCTCATGGATCACAGGGTAAGACGGGGCCCCCAAGACCTCAGGGAGGTGGTGGGGAATGAATGAATGAACATGCTGAGCTCCCCACTTGACTTCTGTCTCCTTCGCTCTTCTGCAGAGTTGTCTTGAATCAGCCTGTGCTGACCATGTGGTCTTGGAGACACTAACATTGTCCCCCCAAGTCCATCACCTTGAATCTGATAAACACATGAGCCATGAGCAGCTTAAGTATCTGCAGAAGGCTTGGCCTAGGACAGCCATACAGTGGACTGTTCTTGCTTTAGCTTCAGATTTGGGTTTTTATTTATTTATTTATTTATTTGTTGCCTAGACATCATGTTCAACCTGACAGATTTGGGTTTTTTAAATATTAGGTATAGTTATTATTGACATTGTTTTCCTCCCATCCCCCACTCCTTAGAAAAATAATACTGTCTCACCATAGGAAACGTGGGTTTAGAAAACACATGTGCAGATCAGTAGTAAGGAAACACCCAGAGGCAACAGCTGTCACCATTTTAGTATGCCTCCTTCTGGTCTTCTTTTCTTTTTGAGATGGAGTCTCACTCTGTCTCCCAGGCTGGAGTGCAGTGGTGGGATATCAGCTCACTACAACCTCTGCCTTCTGGGTTCAAGTGATTCTCCTGCTTCAGTCTCCTAGGTAGGTAGAATTACAGGTGTGCACCATCGTGCATGGCTAATTTTTGTATTTTTAGTAGAGACGGGGTTTTGCCATGTTGGCCAGGCTGGTCTTGAACTTCTGACCTCAGGTGATCCACCCACATCAGCCTCTCAAAGTGCTGGGATTTCAAGTCTGAGCCACCATGCCCAGCCACCTTGTGGTTTTCTTTTTGTATATCTTTTTCTGCCTGTCGTCAACATCTTATTGGGGATTATTTGAAGAATCTTTCTTTCACCCTAATATGCATCATCTTTTTGGTTTCTTGGACGCAGGCTTTCGCTCTGTTGCTCAGGCTGGAGTGCAGTGGCACAATCGTAGCTCCCTGCAGTCTTGATCTACCGGGTTCAGGTAATGCTCCTGCCTCAGCCTCCTGAGTACCTGGGATTATAGGCACGCTCCACCGTGCCCAACATATTTTTCTCTTTTTTGTAGAGATGGGATTTTACCATGTTGCCCAGACTGGTCTCCAACTCCTGAGCTCAAGTGATTTTTCTGCCTCAGGCTCCAAGAGTGCTGGTATTATAGGAATAAGCCACCATTCCGGGTCTCATTCTTCTCTTTATGAACTTTTTACAAACATCTTTTAAAAAGATTAGATGTTATAAATAATTTCTTCAATTTACTATTAAAGAGTTGAGCTTAATATAACAAAACTCACTGGGACAGTTGATGTAATTTGTATATGAATGCAGGATACCAGACGCATGCTAATAACATTAATTCTTGTTTTGGAAAATTATGCTCCAGTTACATAAGAGTATGTCCTGGATTGTAAGGGGATAACCTGTTTTTTTAGGGGTAAAGATATGTAGAGCCTACATCTTACCTTTTTTTTTTTGATCTTTTCTTCTTTTTGAGACAGTGTCTTGCTCTGTTGTCCAGGCTGGAGTGCAGTGGCGTGATCTGCAGCCTCTGCCTCCTGGCTTTAGGTGATTCTCCTGTCTCACCCTCCTGAGTAGCTGGGACTATAGGCATGCATCACCATGCCTGGCTAATTTTTGTAATTTTAGTAGAGATGGGTTTTCACCACGTTGACCAGGCTGGTCTCAAACTCCTGACCTCAGGTGATCCACCCACCTCAACCTTCCAAGGTGCTGGGATTGCAGGTGTGAGCCACTGTGCTAGGCCTTTAACTGTCTGAATTGTTTAGAAAAAGATGATGCATTTGTGTGTGTGTGTGTGTTTGTGTGTGTGAATGGATAGAGGTAGAATGTTACTGTAAACTTGGCAACATGTTAATAGTTGTGAGTTCAGTGAATTCTTAGTATGATTTGAGTAATTTTTCTATAAAGTTTGAAATTATTTTAAAACAAAAAATGAAAATGTTTAACTTTTTATTATAAAAGTGTTCAGTTGGCCAAGTGCAGTGGCTCACACCTGTAATGTTAGCACTTTGGGAGGCCAAAGTGGGTGGATTACCTGAGGTCAGCAGTTTGAGACCAGCCTGGCCCATGTGGTGAAACCCTGTCTCCACTAAAAATACAAAAATTAGCCAAGTGTGGTGGTAGGTGCCTGTAATCCCAGCTACTTTGGAGGTTGAGGCAGGAGAATCACTTGAACCCAGGAGGCTGCTGTTACAGTGAGCTGAGATTTCACCACTGTACTCCAGCCTGAGTAGAGTCACATAGAAAGACTAATATAACAAAACTCAATAAGCTTATCACCCAGATTTCATGATTGCTAATTCTTTGTCATGTCAGCCTTTTTCCCCCTTCTTCAACCTGTTTTTTTGGGAGATTCAGGTTCTGTTGCCCAGGCTGTAGTGCAATGACATGATCATGGCTCCCTGCAGCCTCCACCTCCTGGCCTCGAGCAGTCCTCCCACATCAGCCCACTGAGTAGCTGGGACTACAGGTGTGAGCCATTATGACTGGGTAATATTTTTTATTTTTACGTTTTGTAGAGATAGTCACCCAATGTTGCCCATGCTGGTTTTGAACTCCGGAGCTCATGAAGTTTTCCTGTCTCAGTCTACTGAAGTGCTAGGATTAGAGGCATGAGCTACTGGTTCTGGCCCATATTAGCCTTTTTTAAAAGTTCCCAGGGCATGGTAGCTCACACCTGTAATCCCAACACTTTGTAAGGCCAAGGTGGGAGGATTGCTTGAGCCCAGGAGCTCAAGATCAGCTTGGGCAACATAGGGAGACCCTGTTTCTACAAAAATTAAAAAATAATTAGCCAGTCATAATGGCTCAAACTTGAAGTCCCAGCTACTCAGGACGCTGAGGTGGGAGGATCACTCTAGGCCAGGATCCGGAGGCTGCAGGGAGCTGTGATCATGCCACTGCACTCCATCCTGGGTGACACAGCGAGACCCTGTAACCAAATGAATGAATGAATGAGGCCTGTAATCCCAGCATTTTGGGAAGCTGAGGGGGCCAGATTCATTGAGCTCAGGAGTTTGAGACCAGCCTGGGCAACACGGTGAAACCCCGTCTCTACTAAAATACAAAAAATTAGCCAGGTATGGTGACATGTGCCTGTAGTCCCAGACTTGGGAGGCTGAGGCAGGAGAATTGCTCAAACTCAGGAGGCAGAGGTTGCAGTGAGCGAAGAACACACTACTGCACTCCAACCTGGGTGACACAGTGAGACTCCATCTCCAAAAAACAAAAAAATAAAAAATACATGAATGAATGATGAAAAAGTGAATTAGAGCCATCTTGACATTTTCCTCCTAAATCTTTTTTCCCTATATCTTTTCTATGCACGCCCCCCAAAAGAAAGTCATTTTTCCTTTACGACCCAACAGAATGAGCTGTAATAACCTTGTAATATGTGCAAATGTCTATCCACATTCAGACATCCCCAGCTGTGTGGCTGCCATTGTTCGCAGCAGGCAGTTGTGCTGGGGAGGGGTGCAGCATCGGCATGCTTGTGGAATGAGTGAGCCCCATCCTCCTCCTCCTCTCATTGACTGTCATTGCCTAACTCCCTTGTGTCTTGGCCTCAGGTTGATCATCCGGGACTACCACCAGCCCCTGGAGAGCAGTGGCCTCTGGTCCTTAAACAAGGAGGACATGTCAGAACAAGTCATGCCTGTTTTGGTAAAGAAGTGGAAGAAGAAATGCACCAAGTCAAGGAAGTAAGTGTGTTTCCTTGTCCTCTAGAATGCCCCGGTTCCCTCCTTCCCACCCCTGTGGCCTGAATCCAGGCTGCGGCCCTGGCATTGCTGCTTGTTTCTAGCTTTGTGGTTCTCGCTTCTCCTCTGGGCTTCAGTTTGTTTTTCTGTCAAATGGGGTAAAATCTCACAAGTCATTAAGGCAACTGAGTAGAAAAGAAGAGAGAAGCTGGGCATGGTGCCTCACGCCTGTAATCCCAGCACTTTGGGAGGCCAAGGCGGGTGGATCACAAGGTCAGGAGTTTGAGTCCAGCCTGGCCAACATGGTGAAACCCCACCTCTACTAAAATATAAAAATTAGCTGGGTGTGGTGGTGAACGCCTGCAATTCCAGCTACTTAGGAGGCTGAGGCAGAAGAATCACTTGATCCCAGGAGGCAGAAGTTGCAGTGAGCCAAGATCGCACCACTGCACTTCAGCCTGGGAGACAGTGTGAGACTCCATTTCAAGAAAAGAAGAGAGCCTGCGCATGCAGGCAGTTGATGCTATTTGCCATGGCATGTAACTGTCCCTCCTTGAGTCAGTCACTTTTTCTGTCATTTCTGAGCATCTGGCATCCCGTGTGTTCCTGCTGTTTTGACGTGTTTCTCTCCAACGCACCCGGTTGACCATGTACGTTTGTTTAGCCAAAGAAGCCACATTTGCGGGTGATTTTGGCTGTACTGGATTTTAGACTCTACCCCCTATGTAAGATGTGCCCCACTATGCCACCTCTGTCATTCTTTTGGGAATCCAGTTAGGGCCTCCACTGTACATACCTTAACTCTTCAAATCAGACACCATCAGTTGCACGATACATTATTATTGTGTGTAACAGTTAGAAACAAAAGCAACTGCCAATTAAACAAGGACATAAGATGCATCCCGAGCCTGGACGAGCTGGAGCATGAAATTGCAAGTGACATGTGGGCAGTGGATTGTGGCCATGGGGGCAGTAGGGTGGCTTGTTTTTGTTTCTGTTGCCTGTTCTGGGGTAAGCTTACTATGGCAAGATGTGACAGAGCCAGCCTAGTGCACTGGATTCTCCACAGACCCATTGGCCTTAAAGAGAAATCCCCAGACCCAGGTTCAGCTCCTCATTCTATTCCAGGGATGCCCAGGATACAGGCCTTCAGTCAGACCCAGATGGTGGGTGGAAATCTGGGATATCCATGGTGCCAGGTCATTAGGACATCAGCAGAGGACCTCGCGACCCTGGTGGGAGGCTGTTTGGGTGGTCCAGGTGATGGGAGAAAATGTCTTGCGGGAGATAGATAGAGCTTGGTCCTCCATGGCTGAGCGTTGTACGGAAATGGCCCATGTCCATGACCCAGTTGAAGGTCATTGGCGGGCAGAGGTGGGGTCCCTGTTTATTACATGGAGACAGAACTAGTAGGATGGATGGATAGATTGATGGATGGACGGACGGATGGATGGATGGATAAATGATAGATTGGTAGAGGATAGGTAGATAATAGATGGATAGATAGTGGATGGATACATGATAGGTGGATGGATAGATGATAGATGGATGATTGATAGATGATGGATGAGTGTATGGATTGAGGGTGAGAGGGGATCTACTAGGGAAACTGGATCATGTGATTATGGAGAAGTCCTATGCTAGGCCATCTGCAAGTTGGAGAACCTGGGAAGCTGGTAGCATGGCTCAGGCCAAGTCCGAAGATCTCAGACCCAGGGAAGTTGATGGTGGAATTCTCAGTCTACAACCAAAGGCCTGAGAACCTGGAGTGACCGGGGTAAGTCCCAGAGTCCTGAGGCTAGACAGCCTGGAGTTCTGATTTCCAGGGGCAGGAGAGGTTGACATCCTGGCTGCAGAAGAGAGATCACATGAATTTACCATTTTTCTGACTTTTTCTTCTGTCTGGACCCTCTGCTGATTGAGTGGTGGCCAGTCACATGGGGTAAGGATGGATCTTCCATATTGAATCCACTAATTGAAATGCCAGTCTCGTCTGGAAACACCCTCACAGGCACACACACAGAAATAACACTTTACCAGCCATCTGGGTATCCCTTAACCCCGTCAAGTTGACCCCTAACGTCACCTATCACTTGGATTCCTTCAGCCTCACCTGCAGTGTTCTCCCTGCTATTAAGGCCACATTTGTAGCATGGACTTTAGCATTCCTCATCATCAACGCCTCTGTTGATCACCTGGCTTGGCTTCCTTTCATGGAAGAAGGATGCCCACCTTTGTGTCCCCTGGAGCTTGCCAGGCGAGCAGGTTGTTGGAGACACCATGAAAGAGGCAGAGCCTTGGGAGGAGGACAGACTTTGAATCAAGAAGCTCCTCCACCGATGTGGATTTTAACTCACTGAGCAGGTAAAACTGCTGTTTTCGTGCTTAGTGATGTTTAGTTCCTGAGGGTTCAGGAAGGGGAACAAAACACATACACCCTTTTTTTTTTCTTTTTTTCTTTTTTTTTTTTTTAAGACAAAGTGTTGCTCTGTCACCAGGTTGGAGTGCAGTGGCATCGTCTCAGCTCACTGCAACTTCCACCACCTGGGTTCAAGCAATTCTCATGCCTCAGCCTCCCAAGTAGCTGGGATTACAGGTGTGTACCACCATGCCTGACTTATTTATTATTTTATATGTGTATTTTTTTTTTTCAGACAGTTTCACTCTTGTCACCCAGGCTCGAGTGCAATGGTGCAATCTCGGCTCACCACAACCTCTGCCTCTTGGGTTCAAGTGATTCTCCTGCCTCAGCCTCCCAAGTGGCTGGGATTGTAGGCATGTACTACCACACCCAGCTGTTTTTGTATTTTGAGTAGAGACAGGGTTTCTCCATGTTGGTCAGGCTGGTCTCAAACTCCCAACCTCAGGTGATCTGCCTGCCTCGATTTCCCAAAGTGCTGGTATTATAGGTGTGAGCCACTGTGCCTGGCCTTTTTAATTTTTTTTTCTCTGTAGAGACAGGTCTCATTATGTTGCTCAGACTGGTCTCCAGCTCTTGACTTCCAGAGATCCTCCAGCCTCAGCCTTCCTAGTAGCTGGGATTACAGGTGTGATCCACCATACACAGCTGAGTTCTGGTTTATAACAACCCAGGCTGCCCTGGGGAAGGTGGATATTAGGGATGAGAGTGAAGGCAGGGAGACCTGAGTGGGGATCTCAAGGCCTGTCCATGAAGTTCCTCCATGCCTCACTGGGAGCCTCCATTTTCTTTATTTTGACACAGGGTCTCACTCTTTTGTCAAGGCTGTAGTGCAGTGGAACCATCTGAGCTCACTGCAGCCTCCATCGCCTAGGCTGGAGTGATCCTCCTACTTCAGCCTCACGAGTAGCTGTGTCTATGGGTACATGCCACCACACCTGGCTAATTTTTTTTTGTAGAGATGGTATCTTGCCATGTTGCCCAGGTTGTTCTTGAGCTCCTGAGCTCAAGCAGTCCACCTACCTTGGCCTCCCAAAGTGCTGAGATTACAGGCGTAAGCCTCCATTTATTACCCAGAGCATTTTCTGAAAATTCAGTGAGATAAATGTCATGATAAGCTGTGCCCTAGTCCTGAGTAAGTGCTGGGCATGTTTTAGTTGTACAAGTTGTATTTATTCATTGCTACATTTCCATCTTGCCAGGGAGGGTGTGGTGAGAACTGGCTCACTGGTATTGAAAGCAGGCCACCTTGAAAGGGGGCTGGCTCTGTGAGTACCTTGGTGTTTAGGGATGCTCAGCTTGGGACCAGGGTGTCATTTCCTAGGGACATTGATAGATGAATCGCTTGCTCTGTTCCCAGAGGCATAAACCAGATCTGGCACCTATATCCCCTGTGGAACTGGAGATAATGACAAGAACAACCCTGTCCTAGGCTGGAATTTCCGGGTGTGGCCCTTTACACCGAGATCCCTTTAGTTAACCAGAGAAGGGAATCCAGCCCGTGCAGCTCTGGGCTGCTGGGTTTCCTAGGCTCAGGGACCAAGTGAGGGAAGCCTGGGGTTGGGAGTCTGCATGGCTTCTTGGACCCCTTTACAACCTTTCTTCACCCCGAGTGTGTGCCAGGGCATGGTGGCTCATGCCTGTAATCAAAGCACTTTGGAAGGTAGAGGTGGGAGGATCACCTGAGGTCATGAGTTCAAGACCAGCCTGGCCAACATGGTGAAACCCCATCTCTACTAAAAAGACAAAAATTAGCTGGGTGTGGTGGTACTTACCTGTAATCCCAGCTACCTGGGAGGCTGAGGCATGAGAATTACTTGAATTGTTTGAAGCTGAGACGGCACCACTGCATTCCAGCCTGGGGGACAGAGTGAGACTCCATCTCAAAAAAAAAAAAAAAAAAAAGGTATGAGCGATCTCCCTGCTTCTACCTTTGGGTTTGCTTCACTGGTTTGTTTGTAATAGCTTTATGTTCTCTTTTTTTGTGTATGGCCTCTTAGAGCTTAGGGCCATTTTGAATTGTGGTGTCTGCTGGCGTAACTATAAAATGCTTTGTGACTCTGGAAGAGTTTGGCAGGTTTTTTTTTGTTTGTTTTTTGTTTTTAAGTTAGACATAGTTACCATACATCCAGCCACTCCCTTCCCAGACATCCACCCATGAGAGCTGAGAACATATGTTTATAAAAGACTGATACAGGAACGTTCTTATCTACTTTGTGATAACCCAAACTGGAGGTAAGCCAGACATCTATTAGCAAGTGAACAGACAGATCTACCCATTGTGTGCATCTGCACAACTGAATAATACTAAGTTATGTACAAAAACAAACTATTGGCTGGGCACAGTGGCTCATGCCTATAATCTCAGCACTTTGGGGGGCCGAGGTGGGTGGATCACCTGAAGTCAGATTAAGGCCAGCCTAGCTATCATGGTGAAACCCCATCTCTACTAAAAATACAAAAATTAGCCAGGTATAATGGTGTGTACGTAATCTCAGCTACTCGGGAGGCTGAGGCACAAGAACTACTTGAATCTGGGAGGCCAAGGTTGCAGTGAGCCAAGATGGCACCACTGCATTCCAGC